TTGTTTTTGTAAGGTACAGTACAGCCTTCTTAAAAACACTAAGCGGCACCTCAGTAGTACTCTTGGGAGCATTTACAACAGTGAATTCACAAAAAAGTACAAAAATGTGAAAAATTTCGAACTGTTTAAATTGCATAAAGAACATTTTTTGCATAAGAGTTGGAAAAAAGAAAGCGTTGCTTTGCCCAACCTCAGTTGGGAAGATGTGCATTAGGTAATTCAAACAGCATATCTGCAAATGACTTTGCAAGCACCATGAATACTAATCTGGGGGTTGCAAGGAAATTTTAGCAAATAAATTTTAGGAGTAAATTTATAAATATTAAACCTGTTAGTAATGAGGATTGTCTGTAGTTCAGAAATAGGCAAAACCTAGCTGTACTGTTGGAAAATTGTAGTAGTTACCTGTGATGGTCATGACTAGGTTGCCTTAGGGAAGCTTCTCACGTGCTAGTAATTTCACATATGATTTGGATGCTCGTACACTTACTTTGTGAAATTCATTAAGTAGTACATGATGATGTATTTTGTTGGGTTTTGTATGTATTATAGTTGAATTAAAGTTCACTTAAAAAGAGTTAGAACTCATGTGGCTTTATCTCCTAAAACTTCAATTATGATTTCATATAAAGGTATTCAGATCCATTAAAGACATTCTTTCAAGGATAATTTATTTCTTAATAGAAAAAGATTTTCTTTCCCACTCTCATTCTTATTTTTCCTAAGATGGTAGTATTTGTTATGTGTTTACTCTGTGTTCTAATAATTGTCTTCTATTCCATTCTCATAAATAGAATCTATTGTGTAAAGTAAAGAAAATATAATCAAATTAATTGAAACTGAGTAAAGTCACTTCAGGGACTATGTCACTAGGGCTTGAGGAGAAATAAAGTTGGGAGTGAATATTGATCCTTAGATTGTGCATCTGTGTAAACTGCCTAGATAATTGCTTTCTATTGCCCACAAAACTGAGGTAAGCTAGAAGTTCACCTGAGGTTCACCTTCATATGCCCCACTTGTGGTCATCTTAATAACTTATTGACACAGATTCCAAAGACCAGGTGTTATTTGAAAACTAGCCTTCTATTAAAATGGGGAATAACCATATCAGAACTCAGAACCGAAGATGACTACTTATTACAGACCTGTCAAAGGTTATTTTTGTGTGACTGCAACGCCACTGACAATCTTGGCCCAGCCATGTTGACCTAGCCAGCATTGCATTAGCCTTGCACCTTGGCGTCCATTACTGCCATATGTGCTTCATTGATGTGCAGCATAGATAATTTGTTTTTTTACAATTGTCATAAATGCACGTCAGGTAATATATAGTCCATAAATGAGGAATAAGTATATTAATCCTATCCAGAAACCTTGGGTCGTGGTGGATCTGTATAAATCTGCTTTAGGTTAGAATAATTACCATATTTTATGTAAATAACAACATGCATGTTACAAGTTTTTTGGCATACCACACAGATCCCTGTGAATTATTTTTGTGAACTCAGTATACCAGTATTTCTTTTACAATTTGCTGACTTCAGTTTATTTTCTCTTCTTTAACTGTCCAGTGGATTTAATGTTAAGTCCCATATTGGGACCTGGTGTCGTGGTGGTTTGGTTTCCAGCATCCAACCTTACCAACCTACACTCAGATCTCTAAGCCTGCACCTCCTTCAGAAGGGTTCCTTCTGCCCTGCAAATAGCTTTCTCGAATGTGAGAAAAACCACCTTTTCTATCCCAGAGACAGCCTTTGCGGGGCAGCTGGAGCCCAATCTGTCCACTCCTTGCCAGAGAGACCACTTAGGCAAAGCAAGGCCAGTGTTCTGGAACCGTGC